CCTAATCCTAAACCCTAAGCCCCCAAACCTTGTCAACCCTGCACCCTAACGTCCACGACAATGAGGAGTAAACTGTAATGTGAACCCCTCCTAAGAAAAACAAGAGAGCCGAACTGGTAATACCGCCGATGAGCCACAAGCAGTTGTGTCTCTGAGCCATAAAACTGAAACCTATACAGTACCCTACCGTGCGACAACTTGCTCTCAAGCAATTGCTGTCATGCGTTGCGCGTTGTGCCTGTCTTTCATATATAATGCAGTTATAAGCTATGAGAGTTCTAGAATGTTTTGGCAAGGCCTTGGGTTACGTTTACGGCTTCCGAAGGGCTCAATGTTTCACTGAACAACCTAAACTCCAAATAAGGGATGCGGGCTTCAGGGCTTAGGGTTTGTACCCAGAGGGTCCATATGCACTACCGTTACGGAATCAGGTCCAAAAGACCATCCCTAGTATGGTTTTGGGGACCTAATTCCGTAATAGTAGTATATATGGACCCTCTTGGGTAAGGGTGTAGGTCGCAGTGCTAAATGCTTACGTCCGAATGCCAAAGGCTCGAGGGCAGAACCCTCCCCCCTGCACAGTCTCAAACTGCTGACCGTGGAGAAGTCTGACCATACACCCCATGATGCAAGCCTTGACAAATCAGAATGCAAAAGCCTGAAAAAAACCGAGGAACCCCAAACCATAAACCCTAACCCTAAACCCTAAACCCTTAGTTTTCGGCCGTCGGGGTTCTGATTTCTCAGTCTCCGAGGCTCAGGACCTAGAGGATGTAAGGTGAAAGTTCGTGTAACAGTTGGCCTTCCAGGAATGGGATTCAATCCGCGTCCGCCGTTCAATTCTAGAGAAAGGTTCTGCTTGGTTTCGGGCTTACTAGACTTTGAAGTCACCATGGAGAAAAAAGTATAGACTTTTATTTCATAATGGTTCGCTTGAGGAACAGGTCCCCAAAAAAGTATTACTCCAGAACCCAGTTTAGGTTTCTTGGAGTCTCGACAAAGGGCACGACGATCCATGCGGGCGCATTGATCAAAAGGTCCTGCTCAGGCGGGAGCAAGGCAGGATTTTGGGTTTAGGGTTTGGGTTTGGAATAGAAGGATGGTGCATTCTCGCATCTTGGGGCATATGCTGGTTGAATGCTTGCCGGCTGAATGATACCCTGCGTGAAGGCATGTTGCAATTCTTAACCAGTGCACGTTCCCAAAAGTGCATGTCATGGATATGTTCTGAAGCGTAAGACGAAACTAGATTGTGGATTTGCAAAATGTCAACAAACTCTCAACTCAACGCAAGAAAGCAGACACTCCAGCAATGAACCTTTAAGACTAGAACGGTGTCGCTTGCACCTTCTGCTGCCATCTTGCCAGTGTTCCTGTCATCCTTCACGGTTTTGCTCTACTTCTGCTGCCATCATTCATGCACCACACTCACATAAATTAAATCATCTGGGGCCGCCAATTCGAGCTTGATGGCGGCACAAGCGCTAAGAAAGGTCAGAACAACGAACCAAACGTGCGAACCATGAAACAACTCAAGCCAATACCGCAACGGGTCAATATTCTACAATGAAATCAGAACAATACAAGAGCAAGAGCGGCGAGAAAAGCGCATGCTGAACAAGATGCCCACAGACATGGGTCCCATGGCCACCATCTCGATCTAGCACCAGCACATCACCACCAGTATCCTCATCATTATCGTCATCTGCTTCTTCATGACAAAAGAAACCAACACCACAATGACGGCGGTAGTTATATTCGCCAGCCCAACCATGCTTTTACAAGAACAGACACTTATTCGGCCGACAAACAAGTGCGATTAGACCGTATGTAAACAAAAGCACGGCACAGACGAAAGTTTGGACTGACGGCAACAACCAACAAGAAAAAAAATAGCGACAGCGGAAGGATTTATAGTAACAGCGAGGCACAGTGAACCAGGCAGCTTTACGCGACTGGTAGCGTGAGAAAACATGATGCCAAGACCATAGAAATGTTAACGGCAGGACATCAAATCCCGTACCCCATGGCCCGTTTTGTTCCATGAGTTGTGCCAGAAGTTTTCGGATAGTAGTATAGACTGAAGTAGTCCCCGTGTGCAACCCTAAGTTATCCTAAGCACTGAACCCGAAACCTTTAAGCCCTAAAACCTAAACCCTCTATAAGCTCCTCATTGTTCACCATGGCATCGATGCCAAGCCAGACGACATTTGCAATGATGAAGCAGTAGACAACAGTTTCCTTGAGGCTTCGGGGGTTGCGTTTTTCTCCCTCAAACTATCAACTCAACCCTAAACTCTCAACCCTAAACCCTCAACCCTAAACCCTAAACCCTCAGCCCTAAACCCTGAATCCTGCAGTAAGCCCTAAAACAACCCCTCAACTTTCCATCCTCCCTCGGACCTAGAGCTGGAGACAGTAATGTAGGGGCCTTCATGATTAGAATTGGGTTTTGGAGTACCCCAATACCCAATACCCCTTAATTAAGGAATACACCCTAAATCATAGTATTAAGGCCCCTATAATTTAAGGTATATTCCTCATTTAAGGGGTATTGGGCTCTCTGGATATATTATACTATGGTGACAATATAAGGAACCCCCAAACTAGTATAGGTAATTTTTGAGACCCCAGTTTTTTAAGCTACTGAAGTGGGGCTGAGGGCTTTGGGTTTCGAGCCCTGCGGCGTGAAACCAGGCAAGGTGCTTCGAAGGGTTCAGAGCCAAGTTTCGGGCTTTGGGTGGCTTTGGGTTTAGGGTTTAGGAAGTAAGGGTTTGAGATTTGGGAATTGGGGGTTTAGGAGTTGATGGTATAGGATTTGGGAATTGAGGTTTAGGATTTGAGGGTTTAGACCCTAAACTCTAAACCCTACACGGTTGAGGAATTGCGGGCTTGGGGTTTTGGAGTTTAGTCTCTGGGGCCAAGGGCCGGGTTGACCGAAGGCCATGACATGAGGGTTTAGGGTTTAAGGTTTAGGCTTTAGGGTTTAAGGTTTAGGGTTTAGGGCTTACGGAAGTTGTCCGGATGGGGGGTCCCTTCTGGGGTCTTTCTGAAGAGCGCCGTGCTAGTCGGGGAACTAAACGGGGACCCAAGTTGCGAGAACTGCCCAAATGCAGCAAGGCAACAAAATAGTCGTGGCCTGCAATCATACCTTGGCCGAGGACTGAAAACAAGACTAGAATGGTTAGGCGTTAAACCCTAAACCCTGAACCGCTGAACGGAATGGCTCGAACCCCACAGCTTGACAACGTAGACCTCAAATCACACGGATCCTGGTGTAGACATCTCGAAGCTAGGGTAATGGGTTTAGGGTTTAGGGTGCCAAAACAACCCGCCAATGGCCCCTTTGTAAGACGTGGAAGGAGACAAGCCAAACATGATCCAGCATCGAGCAATAACATGATATTGACCTCTGGCGGCAAGCTGTCGGCAGCTTCAAACGTGAAGCCCCGCAATGCCTAATCCCTTCGTCCCAGACTCTATGATTGCATGTACCAGCAAGGAGTGCTGCTCTCAGCCGAGGCTGGTTCACCCTAACCCAGGCCCTGACCCCCATGCGCTGACCGGAGTGCGGGAATGACCCCCGGGTGATTGGAATCCAAGGTCAAGTGTTCAACCAAAACCATCAGTCCTCCCAAAGCCCTACTGACAGCAAATGCTACTGCTCCTGCTACTGCTCAGCTTACCGCTGCTACCACCACCACCACTACTACTACTACTACTACTACTACTACTACTAGCAGCTAGTGCGACACACGCTGCTGCTACTGCCGCGGCTACTTCTACTGCTGATGCTACTGCCCCTGCTACTAGTAAGAGCAGCAGTATGCGCAAGATTGTGACGATGAGGATTCCGCAAAGAGCCAGGCGGCTGCACCAACCATCCTCTTTGTAGAGACTCGGCAGAGGCATTGCTTGGGCTGGGATTCGAGGGCAGAAGGCTTTAAGGATGTAGGGTTTAGAACGCTCGCCTAAACCCTAAACCCTAAACCCCAAAAACCCGAAACCCTAGACCCTAAACCCTAAACGGTAGCGGATTTAGGGAGTGTCGGGTTCGGGGTGTGGGCCCAAGAAGCCTTCAACTCAACTGGAGACTTTTTGCGGAAACTGCTTCAAACACTCTATAGGACTGTACTCGAACACACTTATAGGGTTTAGGGTTTAGGGAGTAGTCGTTGTGCCCTTTGGGGCCAGGATTCGTGCACAGGTGCAACAGGTGAGACCCTTATGCTCAGGACATGGCAAAGGTGGCGTAGCCAGATGCCCTAAAGATTGAACAGCAATCCCTCCTCAGAACCCAGCCGTCCTTCTGGACCTCAGCAGACCCTAAACCCTAAACCCTAAACCCTAAACCCAAACCCTAAACCCTAAACCAAAAACCCTAAACATAAACCCTCTAAGTCCTAAACCCTCTGAATCCTAAGCCCTAAACCCCAGAAGTTAACGGCTCGACTCGAGACCTTCGGCACTTTGGTATCGAGACTCGAAGCTTCAAAACTCCCTCTTTAGAACCCAACTTCTGGGGTTTACGGTTTAGGGTTTAGGGTTTAGGGTTTAGGGTTTAGGGTTAGGATTTAGGTTTAAGGGTTTAGGGTCAGGATTTAGGGTTCAGGGTTCAGGGTTCAGGGTTTCGGGTTTAGGGTTTAGGATTTAGGGTTTAGGGTTTCGGGTTTAGGGGTTACGGTTTTGGGTTGAGGCCTTAGGGTCTGCAGAGGTCTAGTGTGACGGCTGGGTTCCGAAGAGGGACTTGTGTTCAAGCCAAAACCCTAAACAACAGTAGACCCCTAACGAACCTTGTAGAACCCCTGCAACAGGAACCCGATTAAAATAAGCCTACAGAAAACCATTACGATATAGAAACTTCGAATACACCTATAAACGGCCCCCCGAGTGAGCCCCGAAACCCAAAGACCTAATTCAGCCCTAAACTCGAAACCCTGAACCCTATAACCCTCAACCCTAAACCCTAAACCTTTGGAGTTTAGGAACCCTATAACCCTAAACCCTAAACCCAAAGCCCCAATCTCGAAACCCTGAACCCTATAACCCTCAACCCTAAACCCTAATCCCTAAACTCGGAACCCTGAACCCTATAACCCTCAACCCTAAACCCTAATCCCTAAACTCGAAACCCTGAACCCTATAACCCTCAACCCTCAACCCTCAACCCTCAACCCTCAACCCTAAACCCTAAACCCTAAACCCTCAACCCTAAACTCGAAACCCTGAACCCTATAACCCTCAACCCTAAACCCGAGATCCCCCGATCCCCACGGCCAAAGGCCCCTCGCCAGGCAACTCTCGGGAGTGATTCACGTTTTTGAACATCTGGCGCATGCGCTCCTGCTCTGAGCTTTGTGGGTTCATGGGGTCCCCTTAAGGGGGTTACTACAAGGGTTACTCTAAGGGTTTAGGGTTTAGGGTTTAGGCTTTGTGGGTTTGGGGTCCCTTTAAAGGGATTACTATAAGGGGTACTATTGAGGGTTCTATAAGGGTTTAGCATAGGGGCCTCAATAATTAGAATAGGGTTTTGGGCCCATTCTACGATACTGATAGTGAGGACGCCCCAAAAAAGTATTGGTAATTATTTAAGCCCCTATATTACGGCTT